TGGCTGGAAAGGCCAGAATACCTCCTAGTAGACTATTCTCGCTTCACTTGCAATCACTTCTCTATTCGAGAACACCGTAGCAGCTAAATGCAACATTCATTGAGAGCTTATTTTGTGATTTTGAATTTTATGTCTGTTCTTCTGTATACTCTAAACTTTGATAATCAGAGACCACAGACACTATTTTTTTTTTAATTTTATTTTGGTATCATTAATCTACAATTACATGAAGGACATTATGTTTACTAGGCTCCCCCCTTCACCAAGTCCCCCCCACACCCCTGTTCAGTCACTGTCCATCAACATAGTAAGATGCACAGACACTATTTTTTAGAATCCCCTAAAGACAACTTCAAATAACATATATATTGAATATACTATTTTAAACTATACTGTACCAGTACAGTTCTGAGAAATACTTTAGCTTCTGGATAGTATCAACATTTTTTCATTGTATTGTATAAAACTTTATTAATTAATTTAAAGAAAAAGGGTACTTAACATGTCTGTTGATTTTATTGCTTAAAGTATTTTGAGTCCATGTTGGAGAAGTAAACAAAATCCATGATTTTTGAATAATGAAAACCATTAGAGTGAAATAATAATATGGAGTTTTAGTATGTCTAAATATTATTTAGCATGGTTTTAAAAATGCTTTATAGTTAAGTCAGTCTCATTTGATTGTTTTTGTTATTTAACATGCTTTTTGAAATGTTTCTTAGCAAAAATTCATACCTTTATACAATTTGCCCAGCTTTTGAATACGATTTTCCATACTTTGAGAAGAGATCAAATGCTGGTAATACAGTTTGAAAATCCTAGGAGGAAAAAGATTAAAGATTATCAGAGTTCTTACTTCATATTATTATTATTATTTTATTATAAAATATATTTAATTGCTAGGTAGATATCATTTAACTGTACTTCAAATTTCTCATTATACCCACAAATAAAATAAAATAAGCAGGTAATTTACCAGTTAAAAGCTAGAGATACTGAAATATTCCTAAACACATAGTTTTTAATAGCTCTCAAGAAGCCTTGGACAAAGCAGTGATCAGACATAGCCACCTGTCTTCAAGGAGATCACAATCTCAATTTTTTACCTTGACATATAAGGCACTAAATGATTATGTTCTGGGTCCTTTTCTGATATGATTCATTTTCTCCTACATTTCCCATCATTTAATTGTCACTAATAACACTTCTGTTCAGTAGACATGCTTCCTTCAGAGTCTTTATGCTTATACATGCCTCCAATTTCAACAGGTTTATCTCCAGTTTTCCCATGATTCATTCCTTCTTTTCCTTATTTCTCTGTTCAAAGAGGCCCTCCCTGACTCCCTGTATATGAGATAGCACCCCTGAAACTTTATATCACCTCCACTGACTCTATTTTCTTCATTAATTATCACTCTTTGATATTATACATTTATCTATTTTGTGTTCTATTCACGGGAGTAGTTACTTCATTTAGTGAAAAATAACTATTTGTTGACTGAATGAATGAAAAGAGAAAGGTGCTAGACCTAAATAACTATAAACAGAGGGCCGACTGTGGAAAGTACTGCAGAACTGACTCAAAGGAATGCTAAAGGAATTCAGGGGAGAGGGGACAAGTCATTTTTTGTTGAGTAATCAGAGAAGCAGCATTTGACTGAAGAAAGAAATGAATGCTTTTCAAGTCTTTTAAACAGGTAAAGTCATTAGAGAGGTAAAGTACTAAATCAACAGTGAATACTGTAAACAAACGGTCAGACTATATAAAGGCATTTGTTTCTCCTCATAAAAAAGACCTATCCTTATTGGAGATGATTCGGGATAGTTTTGTTTGTTTTTTTCTTAACAAAAACCTTAAAGAAGCTCCTCTGCCTTGAGCCCACTTTTTTCAAGGGCTCATACATTGCCAACACACAAAAATTAAAGTAGTAAAGAACATGAGGTACCTCTGTCACTAGTACCTGGCTCTCCACTCTGGTACAACACAGCCCCTAACCCTAAATGTCTGCTGTTATGACTAATGCTAGTCAGGTCCTGGGGAAAAGCTCCACTCTGTGTTTGTGAAACAAAAGTAGCATGAAGGATGGTAGGTTGTAAAAGACACTGCTTTCAAGTAAAAAGAGAATTTGAGTGACAAAACGCTCAGATAGAAGACTAATTAATTTGAATAAAACCCTTCTTCTAGGATGCACGAATGCAATACAACTGTATATAATAAAGCTCTATTTCCCTGTGGTGCTGAGCATACATGTTCTTGCTTTCTTTTTATTCCAAGTTGTGATTCTAGAGGTACTCAGGAATGAATATAGTTTTGCAACAGTTGCACTGACATAGCAGGAACATTTTGCAGTGGTACATAATTCCTGTTACTCTTAAATTTGAATGTACAAGTTCAAGTTTAGGCATATGTGTGAAGCATAGTAATGATATTTTATGTTGGCATTTGATGAACACTGTAACCTAAAACTGTGATACAGCCATTTCATTTCAAAAGGTAAATAAAAAGTTTAATTTTATTTTAATGATCTTAGTTTAAATTTTGATATTTACTAATTATATTTATTCCCCATTTTAAATAACAGATAATTTTGAATATTTAAAATAACTCATTTTTAAGCATATAAATATTAAAAAACTTTTTTAGATATACTTTAATTTACACTTTTGATAAAGATGTCCTCAAAATGTACTTTAAATACATGTATATATTTTTAAATGCAGTTTCTATCTTCGATAATTCACAAATTGAGTGAAAATCTTGATTCTAAAAAAAAATGATTCTGCTAAAATAAATGCAAGAAAAATACAGACAACATAACTAAGGATAATTTATGTATATCTTTATTTTATTACTCATGCAAACATTACAGACCCATCAGCAGATAACCCAACCAGGGGAACATTATTAAATTCTACTGTCTTCATCATTTAGATAACTGTTAGTCTTGATTTTACATGTAGTTCTTGCTGTTGTTGTAAAGGTATTTTTATTAAGGTAGGATAATGGATATATTATATTTGGCAGTTCATTTGATTTATAATTTTAAAATCAGATATACGATTAGTGTCCACCATTGCTCTTGCCTTTACATCTTCCTGAATTTGTTTATTCATCTGAAATCTGGCTTGATTTGTAAAATCTAGGTCTGATATGCAGAGTTTGCAAGTTGTCACTCCAATCATCACAGCACAATAAAAGCTGAATAAATTCCAAAGCAATGACTCTTCTTAGATCTATCAGAGAATTGAGGTCACAGGGAAAACTGCTCTGAAAACGGGAGAGACCGACAGGTAGATCTAAAGGGTTGCATCTTATTAGGAGCAGAAGCTCGGAAAGAGAAGTGCACTACTGAAGTCAATATCCCAGGAACACCTTCAACTGTGATTGAATTGCTGTGGCTTAGGGAAGATGAGCTTGACAGTTAAGAACTCTGAGGGTGCTCAGTCTTAGGGGCCACCTATCGTTTCCTGGGTTTTACTGTTAGAAGCCCTACCATGTTCCCACTGTGAACTTCATTCTTGCTTCTAGTGTGTGTAGGGGAACGCCGTTTAAGCACTCCTTCACAAGGTCTGCCCTCAGGTGAAGCTATTTGACCAAATTGGGGTACCACCAAAGCCTAACCAATCTGAGAGAAGTGAAATACCCTTCTAAGAATCACGAAACGGCTGAGACCTAATCATAGGACTATAATATAGAACACTTCCCTTCCCACAATTTACCACTCATCTGTCAGGATCCTTTATAAAAGCAGGGGATTACAGCCAAAATAATTGAAAGCCTGAGACTCCATTGAAAGAGTCTCTAAGGACACCCAAAGGAAACAGGGGAGAAGAAAAAGGACACTTTTTAGAAAAATAAAAAGGACAAATTTTAGCTCTGACACCACACATGTAGCAAAGAGTAAAAAGCTTAATACCCAGGCAGAAAAACAAGAATGTTCACAATAAAGGCCTATGTTCCTTAGTTATAGCATATCTGGTGTCCCAAAAAAACTTAAAAGTTATGCTAAAAGGCAAAAAAATCAATCAACCAAACAAAGAACCCACACCTGAAGTGACAAATATCAGAAACCAGACTCAGATATGGCAGAAATTTTAGAATTATCAGACTGGGTGCTTAAGTACGATTAATGTGTGAAAGGCTCTAATACAAAAAGTAGAAAACATGCAAGAACAGATGATTAATGTAAGGAGTGGGACGGAAACTCTAATAAAGAGCCAAAGGAAATACTAAAAATAAAAAACACTGCAACAGAAATGATGAATGGCTTTGATGGATTCTCCAGTAAATTGGACATGGCTAAGGAAAGGAAAGTGAGCTTGAAAATTTGTCAATAGAAACTTCCAAAACCAAAATTCAAAGAGAAAAAGAGAATGAAAAAGATGGAATAGACTATGCAAGATAGGAAACAGATATGCAAGACGTATGATCCTTTAAATTTGGCTGGAAAGGCCAGAATACCTCCTAGTAGACTATTCTCGCTTCACTTGCAATCACTTCTCTATTCGAGAACACCGTAGCAGCTAAATGCAACATTCATTGAGAGCTTATTTTGTGATTTTGAATTTTATGTCTGTTCTTCTGTATACTCTAAACTTTGATAATCAGAGACCACAGACACTATTTTTTTTTTAATTTTATTTTGGTATCATTAATCTACAATTACATGAAGGACATTATGTTTACTAGGCTCCCCCCTTCACCAAGTCCCCCCCACACCCCTGTTCAGTCACTGTCCATCAACATAGTAAGATGCACAGACACTATTTTTTAGAATCCCCTAAAGACAACTTCAAATAACATATATATTGAATATACTATTTTAAACTATACTGTACCAGTACAGTTCTGAGAAATACTTTAGCTTCTGGATAGTATCAACATTTTTTCATTGTATTGTATAAAACTTTATTAATTAATTTAAAGAAAAAGGGTACTTAACATGTCTGTTGATTTTATTGCTTAAAGTATTTTGAGTCCATGTTGGAGAAGTAAACAAAATCCATGATTTTTGAATAATGAAAACCATTAGAGTGAAATAATAATATGGAGTTTTAGTATGTCTAAATATTATTTAGCATGGTTTTAAAAATGCTTTATAGTTAAGTCAGTCTCATTTGATTGTTTTTGTTATTTAACATGCTTTTTGAAATGTTTCTTAGCAAAAATTCATACCTTTATACAATTTGCCCAGCTTTTGAATACGATTTTCCATACTTTGAGAAGAGATCAAATGCTGGTAATACAGTTTGAAAATCCTAGGAGGAAAAAGATTAAAGATTATCAGAGTTCTTACTTCATATTATTATTATTATTTTATTATAAAATATATTTAATTGCTAGGTAGATATCATTTAACTGTACTTCAAATTTCTCATTATACCCACAAATAAAATAAAATAAGCAGGTAATTTACCAGTTAAAAGCTAGAGATACTGAAATATTCCTAAACACATAGTTTTTAATAGCTCTCAAGAAGCCTTGGACAAAGCAGTGATCAGACATAGCCACCTGTCTTCAAGGAGATCACAATCTCAATTTTTTACCTTGACATATAAGGCACTAAATGATTATGTTCTGGGTCCTTTTCTGATATGATTCATTTTCTCCTACATTTCCCATCATTTAATTGTCACTAATAACACTTCTGTTCAGTAGACATGCTTCCTTCAGAGTCTTTATGCTTATACATGCCTCCAATTTCAACAGGTTTATCTCCAGTTTTCCCATGATTCATTCCTTCTTTTCCTTATTTCTCTGTTCAAAGAGGCCCTCCCTGACTCCCTGTATATGAGATAGCACCCCTGAAACTTTATATCACCTCCACTGACTCTATTTTCTTCATTAATTATCACTCTTTGATATTATACATTTATCTATTTTGTGTTCTATTCACGGGAGTAGTTACTTCATTTAGTGAAAAATAACTATTTGTTGACTGAATGAATGAAAAGAGAAAGGTGCTAGACCTAAATAACTATAAACAGAGGGCCGACTGTGGAAAGTACTGCAGAACTGACTCAAAGGAATGCTAAAGGAATTCAGGGGAGAGGGGACAAGTCATTTTTTGTTGAGTAATCAGAGAAGCAGCATTTGACTGAAGAAAGAAATGAATGCTTTTCAAGTCTTTTAAACAGGTAAAGTCATTAGAGAGGTAAAGTACTAAATCAACAGTGAATACTGTAAACAAACGGTCAGACTATATAAAGGCATTTGTTTCTCCTCATAAAAAAGACCTATCCTTATTGGAGATGATTCGGGATAGTTTTGTTTGTTTTTTTCTTAACAAAAACCTTAAAGAAGCTCCTCTGCCTTGAGCCCACTTTTTTCAAGGGCTCATACATTGCCAACACACAAAAATTAAAGTAGTAAAGAACATGAGGTACCTCTGTCACTAGTACCTGGCTCTCCACTCTGGTACAACACAGCCCCTAACCCTAAATGTCTGCTGTTATGACTAATGCTAGTCAGGTCCTGGGGAAAAGCTCCACTCTGTGTTTGTGAAACAAAAGTAGCATGAAGGATGGTAGGTTGTAAAAGACACTGCTTTCAAGTAAAAAGAGAATTTGAGTGACAAAACGCTCAGATAGAAGACTAATTAATTTGAATAAAACCCTTCTTCTAGGATGCACGAATGCAATACAACTGTATATAATAAAGCTCTATTTCCCTGTGGTGCTGAGCATACATGTTCTTGCTTTCTTTTTATTCCAAGTTGTGATTCTAGAGGTACTCAGGAATGAATATAGTTTTGCAACAGTTGCACTGACATAGCAGGAACATTTTGCAGTGGTACATAATTCCTGTTACTCTTAAATTTGAATGTACAAGTTCAAGTTTAGGCATATGTGTGAAGCATAGTAATGATATTTTATGTTGGCATTTGATGAACACTGTAACCTAAAACTGTGATACAGCCATTTCATTTCAAAAGGTAAATAAAAAGTTTAATTTTATTTTAATGATCTTAGTTTAAATTTTGATATTTACTAATTATATTTATTCCCCATTTTAAATAACAGATAATTTTGAATATTTAAAATAACTCATTTTTAAGCATATAAATATTAAAAAACTTTTTTAGATATACTTTAATTTACACTTTTGATAAAGATGTCCTCAAAATGTACTTTAAATACATGTATATATTTTTAAATGCAGTTTCTATCTTCGATAATTCACAAATTGAGTGAAAATCTTGATTCTAAAAAAAAATGATTCTGCTAAAATAAATGCAAGAAAAATACAGACAACATAACTAAGGATAATTTATGTATATCTTTATTTTATTACTCATGCAAACATTACAGACCCATCAGCAGATAACCCAGCCAGGGGAACATTATTAAATTCTACTGTCTTCATCATTTAGATAACTGTTAGTCTTGATTTTACATGTAGTTCTTGCTGTTGTTGTAAAGGTATTTTTATTAAGGTAGGATAATGGATATATTATATTTGGCAGTTCATTTGATTTATAATTTTAAAATCAGATATACGATTAGTGTCCACCATTGCTCTTGCCTTTACATCTTCCTGAATTTGTTTATTCATCTGAAATCTGGCTTGATTTGTAAAATCTAGGTCTGATATGCAGAGTTTGCAAGTTGTCACTCCAATCATCACAGCACAATAAAAGCTGAATAAATTCCAAAGCAATGACTCTTCTTAGATCTATCAGAGAATTGAGGTCACAGGGAAAACTGCTCTGAAAACGGGAGAGACCGACAGGTAGATCTAAAGGGTTGCATCTTATTAGGAGCAGAAGCTCGGAAAGAGAAGTGCACTACTGAAGTCAATATCCCAGGAACACCTTCAACTGTGATTGAATTGCTGTGGCTTAGGGAAGATGAGCTTGACAGTTAAGAACTCTGAGGGTGCTCAGTCTTAGGGGCCACCTATCGTTTCCTGGGTTTTACTGTTAGAAGCCCTACCATGTTCCCACTGTGAACTTCATTCTTGCTTCTAGTGTGTGTAGGGGAACGCCGTTTAAGCACTCCTTCACAAGGTCTGCCCTCAGGTGAAGCTATTTGACCAAATTGGGGTACCACCAAAGCCTAACCAATCTGAGAGAAGTGAAATACCCTTCTAAGAATCACGAAACGGCTGAGACCTAATCATAGGACTATAATATAGAACACTTCCCTTCCCACAATTTACCACTCATCTGTCAGGATCCTTTATAAAAGCAGGGGATTACAGCCAAAATAATTGAAAGCCTGAGACTCCATTGAAAGAGTCTCTAAGGACACCCAAAGGAAACAGGGGAGAAGAAAAAGGACACTTTTTAGAAAAATAAAAAGGACAAATTTTAGCTCTGACACCACACATGTAGCAAAGAGTAAAAAGCTTAATACCCAGGCAGAAAAACAAGAATGTTCACAATAAAGGCCTATGTTCCTTAGTTATAGCATATCTGGTGTCCCAAAAAAACTTAAAAGTTATGCTAAAAGGCAAAAAAATCAATCAACCAAACAAAGAACCCACACCTGAAGTGACAAATATCAGAAACCAGACTCAGATATGGCAGAAATTTTAGAATTATCAGACTGGGTGCTTAAGTACGATTAATGTGTGAAAGGCTCTAATACAAAAAGTAGAAAACATGCAAGAACAGATGATTAATGTAAGGAGTGGGACGGAAACTCTAATAAAGAGCCAAAGGAAATACTAAAAATAAAAAACACTGCAACAGAAATGATGAATGGCTTTGATGGATTCTCCAGTAAATTGGACATGGCTAAGGAAAGGAAAGTGAGCTTGAAAATTTGTCAATAGAAACTTCCAAAACCAAAATTCAAAGAGAAAAAGAGAATGAAAAAGATGGAATAGACTATGCAAGATAGGAAACAGATATGCAAGACGTATGAAACAATTCTATTAGGGGTAACAAACATGCACATTGGGAATATCAGAAGAAGAAAGAGAAGAAAGAACAGAAGAAATCTTTTAAGCAATAATGGTTGAGAATTTTTCTAAATAATGACAGATATGAAAGCACAGATTCAGAAAGCATAGATAATATCAAAATTTTATACAAATTTATACAAATCAAAAATTTGTAAGCATGTCATATTCAAACTGCAGCAAATCAAATACAAATTAAAAATCTTAAAGGATGCCAAAGCAAAAAATAAAAAGAGCCAAAACAAAACACTTTAGGAACAAGAATAATTGGACTTCTCTTCAGAAATCATGCAAGCAGGAGAGTGGAATGTATTGAAAGAAAATTACCACCAACCTAGAATTATGTATCCTGGAAATTTCTCCTTCAGAAGTAAAGGAGAAATAAACACTTACAGACAAACAAATATTGAGGAAATTTGTCACCAGTAGACCTACTTTGCAAGAAATGTTAAAAAGAAATGTTCAGGCAGAAGGAAAAGAAATTTAAAATGAAATGAGCTTTAGAAAAACAGTAAGTGAAGGTAAAATAAAAACTTTCTATTTTGTTTAATTGATCTTACAGATAACAGTCTTGTTCAAAATAATAATAATAATAATAATAATAAAACAGTGACTATAGCTTACAGATGAGATAAATGAATGACAGTAATGTTATAAGGGATGGGAGGCAGGGATACGGAATAATGTTATTAGGTAGTTGAATTACCCAAAGCAGTGTAGTGTTATTTGAAAGTGGACATAGATTATTCATAAATGTATATTTCAAACTTTAGAGCAGCCATTAAAGAATTTTTTAAAGGAAGTATAATTAAGATGCTAAAAGAGATAATGGAACCATATAAAATGCTAAATTAAAACTAGAGAAGTAAAAAGTAAAAACAAAAACAAAAAGCAAAAACCAACAAAGAACAAGGCAATGGATGGAAAACAGTTACAATCATCATAGGTATCATCCCAACTATATTAATAATCACTTTAAATGTGAATGGCCTAAATAAACCAATAAAAGGCAGAGGTTGTGGATAAAACAAGATTGAACTACATGTTAGCTAGATGAAACCCACTTTAAATATAAAAAATCACAAACAGATTAAATGTAAAGGGAGGGAGAAAGCTAGACCGTGCTACCATTAATCAAAAGAAAGCCAGAATAAGGAAAACCACATCGGAGATAAAAATGGGCAGTACATGATGAAGGGTCAAGTCTCAAGGATCCTTCATGTGTATTTGCCTAGCAACATAGCATCAAAATACATGAAGCAAAGCTGACAGAACAGCAAGAAAAAGCAGACCAATTCATTACTGTATTTGGAGACTACACACCCCTTTATAAGTAACTGACAGATGCAGT